AGAGCGGATACTCTGACGCGGCGCGCAACTTTGTACGCGGCTGCTTGAACAAGATTCCCAACCTTCGGCCAACATATGCCATGCTGCTTCAACACGCATGGCTTGCACCTCTCGCGAAGCCCGACACAATTACAGAAGAAGACGAAGAGGAGGTTGAAGCCGCAGCCGAGGCCGATGGTGGCGAAGCTGCCGGCGACCAGGGACCTGCTGAGGCGATCGAGCCTGTAGAAGACCAAGAAGTCGCCGACTGGGTCAAGGCTGCCATCGAGAAGAGGAGGAGCGGCAAGATGAAGGGCGTCGAGAAGCCTGCACTGCATGCCGCACCTCTTGATGCAGCGACACAGAGCCCTTCACCTAACGGTACAAACGGGCTAGAAGAGGCGGGCTCAGTAGAAGCCGCGGCATAAACCTCTCGAATGGACGAAAACATTTGGGTCATTCACGAGGACATCAGGCCGCGCCAGGAGCAGCCTTGTGGGTTTACGGCGTTGTATAGGCGTATTGCATGGGACGATTGTCGTGGAGCATTGAAATCGGGCCATTGAGCGTAGAGGACACATGTACCTAGCATAGCATACACCTTGTCCAACTGGACGAATAACACACTTCAAGTCGCCAACCAGCAGTCATTGAATCTAGTGATGAATCATCTGTGGCTTTGCCGTCTGCTTACAGACCCTCGTCTTCGCAGTGGAGGAAACGCTGTTGGCGTTCCATGGTTGGGAGTGACGTAAGCGGAGAGCGCTTTGACACGTGATCGTAACCCCTGCTTAGCCAAGATTGCTCGCGGCGGCCATCTGTCGTGGTGCGGGAAAGAACACAGTGGTCGGAACAACTTCAATAAGTAGCCACGACCTTCTTTCGTACGCCGCCCCCACCTTCTTTGTAATGCCACAGGCCTAGCATCACTTTTCTTCCCTTCTGCTGGAATCGTAGTCGAAAACCCCCGCAATCACCTTCAGTCGCTCTCTCGCGTACTCAGACACGTCCGTAAGGACAGACATTCACCATGTCCGGGACAGATTACAACTACGATGAACAGGTACACTTTGCATGCGCCATAAATATAAACAAATGCTAACAACCAGCAGGGCCAGTTCTTCCCCTACTTCATCCTTACCGTTACCACTCTCGTCACCGTTCCGACTACAATTTCATTCTTCAGATCAAGCAAAGGTGCGCGCTCCTCGCCACTTCCACGCAACGCCATACTAATACATGACCAGAGCTCGAGAACACTGGATCGCGGATAGAGTCCGACTTCACTCCCGAACATGCCGATCTCATCCAAGGACAGCGCAAAAAGCAGAAGCGACTCGAGAGGAGGATAAAGCGGGGTCTTCTCATGGTGGGCGGATGGGCGATGAATGCCGCCATGATATACCTCATCAGCACTACTACACGGAGTACGCCTGATATCTGGGATCCCTATGAGGTGCTGGGTGTCTCTACGGTACGACCGCTGCCTCTGTCGCGAGCTTTGGACAACCTGCTAACTTGCACATCAGGGCGCCGATGAGAGGGCGATCAAGAAGCACTACCGAAAACTGTCCCTCACTATGCACCCCGATAAGGCACGCCCAGACCCCGAGAAGAACATTACCATACAATCCATCAACGACCACTGGGTCGACGTCGTGAAGGCGTTCAAGGCTCTTACCGACGAAGAGATCCGCCGGAACTTCCTTGAATTCGGTCATCCAGACGGCAAGCAAAGTTTCAGCATCGGCATTGCGCTACCTCAATGGCTCGTGACGGAGGGAGCTGGCAAATACGTTCTGCTCATCTATGCGCTCGCCCTCGGTGTCATTCTCCCATACACAGTCGGAAAGTGGTGGTACGGAACACAGAAGCTGACCAAGGATAAAGTCCTGGTGGCCAGCGCTGGCAAGGTCTTCCGCGATTACGACAACGACCAAGGCGAGGTGGGTGTCATACACGCGCTCAGCAGCGGAGAGGAGTTCAACGAAGTTCTCACGGGACACAAAGCGGAGAATGGTCTTTCGAAGCTTGAACAGAAGGTCCTCTCTGAGAACTCTGGATCTCTCATTGCGCAAACACTCACCAAGAAGGACCGACAGAAGCTAGACGATCTGGAGGACAGCCGGCGACGCAAGGTTCTGACTTTGTTGTGGGCATACCTTGGCCGCGTTGAACTGGACGACGAGACTTTGAACGACGAGAAGTTTGAGGTTGCGCCAATCGCGCTCCGACTCAACGAAGCTTACACCGCTATCGCTCTCGCATACGGCAACACCAAGGCGATACTATCGGCTTACAGGACCTCCCAGAATCTCATCCAAGCTCTACGACCAGGCGCATCACCGCTTGAGCAGCTGCCACATTTCACACCCGATGTTGCCAGTGCGGCTGAGGCTGCGCGAGCAAAATCACACTTGACTATCCAAGAGTTCATGCAAATACCCGAAGCTGAACGTAAGGCTCGTGTTGTCAAGTCTGGTCTGCTATCTCAAGAACAATACAGCACAGCCATGACTGTAGCCTCACGCATCCCAATGTTTCATCTCGAAAAGGCGTTCTTCAAGGTTGTTGGTGAGCGTTTTGTCACACCTAGCAGCTTGGTCCAGTTCGTACTCAAGGGTCGTTTCATCCCGACCGCTGCCACCAACGTCCCCGAAGTCAACCCGAAGGACCTACTAGACATCGATCCCGCGGAAGGCGATGTCGCAGCAATCACCGGACGTAAGAACGACCGTTCTGGAGAGAAGCCCATCCAACCACCTCTAGCATTCGCTCCATACTACGCTCGCGACCACGCGCCAAGATGGCACGTGTTCCTCGCAGACAGCAAGCAGGGACGTATCGCTGTACCACCATTCACTTTCTCGACTTTCGACAAGCCTATCCTTGACGAGAGCGGTAACCCCACCTACAACGTACAGACTCTCAAGATGCAGTTCGGCGCACCACCACAACCCGGCAGCTACACCTTTGTCATGCACATGATCTGTGATAGTTACATCGGCATGGACACCAAGATGGAGGTTACCCTTGTTGTCGAGGACGCCAGTAAAGCGGAAGAGGTAGAAGAGGAGGACGAAATCAGCGAGCCAGAAGAGGGTAAGATTGATCTTTTGTGAAGCACGTGTATCAAAGCTAACACAACTACAGATTCATTGGCAGGCCAGATGCACCAAATGAAGACCGGAGCCCCACCAAAGAAGCGGAAACAGATCACCAATGACGACAGCAGCGGCAGTGACACCGAAGGCGACGTCGAATCTGAGAGTGAAACCGACACTGACACCGACTCGGATGATGAGTAGAAACCTCCGTCCGGTCTACCAGTAAAATGGTTCTCAATCTCTTTTTGGAGCTATGAATTTTGTGTTACAAGAGACTAGTTGCCTCGCACTATCGAGTTGGCCTCAGTTTCTCACTCTTCCTACAGGCTCCCTTCGGAGCTGAGGGGTATTCCTCAGGATTCTCTTTATGTCGTAACACGCGCGGCGGCAAGAAGGCATTAGTAGGCGTTCCGGAGAGGGGTTTATATACAATGGCGCGCGTTTTTGAAGTTGGAATGAGGGATTCGCTTTCTCGAATTTCGATTGCTGTGAGCGTCTTTTGGTCACATGGATTGCAAAGACTCGGTTCATTGGAGAGGAAGAACGAGGAGCGCGATTACTACATGCGTGTAGTGGAGGGTTATCGGGAGTATTGATGCGTCGTGTGTAGATATCCAGGTCAGAAATTGACGTTGAGTAACCTTTCGATATGACACTTCTTCTTCTTCTTCTTCTTCTTCATCTACCCATCCATGCTTTCCTGCGATGAAGAAGTTGGCAAGCCAACTAAATATAGACACACACGACAGGGAGTCAACATTTCTCCGACCCGCGACCAAGCCTAAGCTAAGAACGATCTACCTAGCCTGTTACCGTCGATCAAGCACGTAGCCTCAGGAAGACAAGGCATCCGAGAAAAAGACGAACACATGGCCTGACCTTAATGCATATACGATATCGTTGATATGCGTGATCTGCAACGTGGCTGGTGCGTTTTCTCAACTGGTGGGGTTTCAGGTGCGTCGCAGCGTGTGGTTGTTCACTCATCACCTCGACAGAGTCGACACCTTCAAACGGGAAGTAGCGATGTGACAGCGATGGCAGAGTCAGGGCAAAATAGTAAGAGTAGTGATATAGGGTGCTGTGATTGGGGGGTTAGGGGTGCATATGGGGGGAGAGCGGCGGCATATGGCAGCATGATGGAATCGACACACGAACATCAGCATGAAAAAACGCGTTCCTATCGACAAGAGCAAGTATGACGGTAGCTTGGGTATCGCATAGTGGTCTTACGACAACCGTTCGTGTGTACGCGCACAACCACCAAGCATCCTCTCCATCTCCACACGAAGCACAGTCACACTTGAACGCAGCACAGTCCCAGATCAACGCAGATCAGCATCCCCTTCCCCTGCCCAGCGTAACTGAAAATCACCGAAAATACTGCCTGAGGACGTCGCTAAGGCATGAAGCAGCGACAGGGTGGGTGGGGGAGGCGGAGGGGAGGTGGTGGAATTCATCTCTCTTCTTGTGGGTGCGTTGGTCTCGTGATGATCCGATTGCAATGAATTTGAGTGGTACTTCGGGTGGTTGGGTATGTGATGACTCTGAATATCCGATTGAAGTCGTCCCACGAGACGGATGCAGCGGGTGGAAGCACAGTCTCGTCTCACGCAGATCAGCGTTCCATTTCCCTGCCCAGTGTGACCGAGAATCGCCGACAATACTGCCTGAGGATGTCGCTAAGGCATGAAGCAGCAACCCCAGCCTTGGCTCCCGATCGGATACCACGGCTCCGCTAAACCAAGGCTCATACAACAAGGCCTCAGGTCGCAAGGCAATCAGGACAATACAGTCAAGCAAATCTTGGCAACCGTTTTAGTTGCACATCACCTGTCTTGGCAAGATACGGGAGTGGAGTGCGCCGGTAGCAAAGTGTCCATGTGGCGAGTTACTGAGGCACCCAAGGCTACGATGGTACGTGTGTCACATCTCTACGGTAATACAGGGGCGGCAAAGGCAAGTACCGACATATCGATGTGTTCCCTGGGCATTAACGACGTCGTTTTGTCGATAGCAGTGGTTGGATAAAAGCTGATGGAAGGCCGCATGAGTTTACCTTCTCATCCCACACTCACTCTTCTTCCGGCCTTCTTCAGTCCTTCCTTCCTTAATTCCCGCTTTCGATTCTTTTAGCGACTTTGATAGTCTGCTTATTACCACTTTCTTTGAACCTTTTACACACATACGTCTGTGACGTTTAATCTTTACCTTCTTTTTAATCCCGATACTACCGTCTTTACCCTTTCAGGACTACTTCATCATCAACATGTCTATCAAGGCTATTGCTACTATCGCGCTTGCGGCTGGTCTCGCTGGTAAGTTCTCCAAACCAAACACTCAATCATATGACGCAACATACTAATCCACCCTCACAGCCGCAAAGCCCATCAACACCCCTGCCAAGCGCCAAATCGGCTTCAACTCCGTCGTCAACGGCTTCAACGGCAACGACGGCGCCTTCAACTTCATCGACGGCTTCAACAACTTCAACCAGCAACAACAAGTAATCCAGATCCAACAGGAGAACCTCCAGATCATCGACAACGGACGTCAACAAGCCGTCGTCCAGCAAGTGGAGCAAGTCCTCATTGTCGACCAGGTCAACAACGGCTTCAACAACGACCTCAACAACCTCTTCCGCAAGAGCAACTTCCAGAACCAGTTCCGCGATGTCGCCACTGTTACCCTTGTTGTGCAGGAGATCCAGATCGCCATCGACGACGGCCGCGGCAACCAAGTCCAGCAAAACATCTTCGCTCAGTCCGCCGTTGTCGCTAACCGCGGCGCCCGCGAGACACAGACTGTCATGGTCTTCGACAGCCGCACGCTGATCGCCCAGGACATTCTCGGCGGCGACGCCTTCGGCAAGCTCGGTGGCTTCGGCGGTATCGCAGGCGCGACTGGCGCGTTGGACGGCGCAATGCCCACCAAGACAGCTGGTATCCAGCTCTTCGGTGCGAAGCCCACTTGGTCGGCTGTTGCCGAGGACCCAGCTGCGACTCTCGGTGCTATCTGGCAGGGTGCTCTCCAGGACCTTCAGGATGCGCAGAACGACGAGGCGGACAACAAGCTCAACGAACAGATTGCTGCTGAGGAGTTGAAGGCGCTTCTCGAGGGTCAAGACGGCCAGGACGACAACAAGGACGGTGAGGACAACGCCGACGACAAGGCCGCTGAGGAGGAAGCCAAGAAGGCGGAAGAAGAGGCCAAGAAGCAAGAGGAAGAGCAGAAGAAGGCCGAGGAGGAAGCTGCCAAGGCCGACGCTGAGGAGGCTAAGAAGCAGGAAGAGGAGCAGAAGAAGGAAGATGAGGCTGCTAAGCAGGAGGCTGAGCAGGAGAAGAAGGCTGAGGAGGAGGCCGCGAAGAAGGAGGCGGAAGATGCGAAGAAGGCAGAGGAAGAGGCTGCTAAGAAGGATGCCGAGGAGCAGAAGAAGGCGGACGAGGAGGCTAAGGCTCAGGATGAGGCGGACAAGAAGGCTGAGGAAGAGGCGAAGAAAGCTGAAGAGGCGAAGGCTGCTGAGGAGAAGAAGGCAGAGTAAGATACTCTAGAGTGTTGGCTCGCGCTCTCTGCAGCAGAGCGACGATGCGCGGAATATGTATACCCTGAGAGGCTTTTGTTAGTTGCTCTCTTACCTACCTAGGTAGTTCAAGTGCTGCGTTTGCAGGACCGGTATCAGCGAGACTGGACCGCGAAAATTGGTTACGAAATTGAATGAATAAATTTCCTTCTTTCACTACACGGCGCACTAGTCTAAATGCATTTACGGTGACGGGATGAGCTCGTGTTGATGTACTCACCTTCACTAATAGTGAAATGTCAATTTCTGCTGATTGTGACGACTTTTATCGGGTTATCTCTCCACACTATGGGCTTCGCATTCTCTCCCGATGTTAAATTATTAGGCATCGAGACTACAAACATGCCATCGCCTCCTGTATTACTGCGCCTCTACTGCAACAAGACTCGGCTACTGATCGGAAGCATACTGCTTTTCATCTGCCTGCATATATTGTTTGGTTGCTCAATCTTCAACCTTGTCCCATCGGGTACACCTGCTACCCCAAATCTCGCCAACGCTATACCCGAATCCATACCCTGGACTCCTAAAAGATTGCAAGCAGACCTGCGCATCTCAAAAGCGACCATATTATACAACTTCAGGCAACATGATAGAGACAATCTCGCCCTCGACGAACTCCACACCCAAAACTTCAGATACGCAAGTCACATTCTCCAAACACCTATAGTGCGAGGCGCTCTGAACAAGTTCCTCTACCTCCAGTCTCTCATCATCACCGAACTTCAAAAACCAATCGAAGATCAAAAAGAATGGATACTCTACCACGACCCTACCGTCATCCTCGCAAATCCTCACATACCACTCCACCACTTCCCCCCACCCATCACAGACGTCGAAACCTTCAAGACCCTCTCTATCATTGCTACGAAATCCGAAAGTGAAGAACTAAGTGCCGCGGTCTTCTTCATTCGGGTTAGCGGCGGCTCACTGCGTATCTTGACTGAAGCCATGGAGATGATATACAACTTGCCAGACAACGGAGATGAAGATGAGGAATTCAGTGTGGTAGCGACAGCCTTTCAAACTACCCTAGCCCGCCCCCACCACCTCGAACACGCAATCTATCAACCCCGTGAATGGTACAATAGTACCTTGTCTCTCTTCTACCAGCCCTACTATCTAGCGCTGGCGCATCGTCTCCTCCCCGTCCACTACACCCAAACTATACCAGGTGAAAAAGAAGGAAGCAGTCTGATGTTCCCTGATGCAGACACGGTACACCGTTTTTGGCACGTTGTGCGTGAAGCGCGGCGCGTGTTGAACGAAGCGAAGGAAAAGGGCCATACGAGTGAACAGGGAGAATGGTGGGAGATGGTGAGAGAGGTGAAGGAATGGGTTGAGGGTAGGGCTTGGGACACGGAGGAGTTGGAAAGAAGGGTAAGGGTCCTGAGGGAGGGGTTGGATATTGGCTGATCTCTTACAATTGAGCATGAATCTGGTGACAGTAGGTTCACGGTGCGGTGACCATGTCATGAGTTATGTTGCGGGTTGTCTCGATCGGCCTGCTGTTTTGAGACGGAGGCAGTTGGAAGGATTCCGCGGCCGGGATGAATGCTTCTAATCTTGGCACATGGATTCCAACGAGCTTGGGGAAATGACGACGTAGGGCGCAGGCCAAGTCGGACGACTCTCCTCCGGACGGTTCTCTTCTTCCAATCATGTATGATGGTTGAACTGGGCGTCTCGGGTAGCACGGCTCCATGTCGAGTAAGCGAGACTTTATCCCCGGACTGCATGCTTTCTCTCTCTTCATATAGTAACATATCGCGTGCCCACAGTTCGAGATGTAGAGGACTCCTCTATACTCACCGCTCATCATGCCGCCGTCCCCAGAGATAACACCACTGCAAGGCACCGCACCACCAAACAACCCCTCCAAAAAGAATGCAGCATCCAAGACCAACCAGCCAACTCCAAGCGACGCAGCAGAGCCCTACTCCGCCTTCCCACAATCAACCCGCACCTCCCTAACCTACATCCTCGGCATAATCCAACTAATCTCCACCCTCACAACAACAATCTACTTCCCGCTCATCCCCACCCTCAGCACCCACTTCTCCGTCTCCATCCAAGCCATCAACTTAACCGTAACCGTTTACGCAATCTGCCAAGCCATATCCCCTGGTATCTTTGGTTCTCTGGCAGATTCCTATGGCCGCCGACCCATACTACTCGGTCTCGTTACCACGTACACGCTAGCGAGTCTGGGTCTCGCGTTGAACAAGAACAGTTATCCAATCTTGATTACGCTACGGGCGTTTCAGAGTATAGGTGGTTCGGCGACGGTGCCGATTGCGTATGGGATTGTGGCTGATGTTGCGGTGGTGTCGGAAAGAGGGGGGATGTTGGGACCGATGTTGTCGACTTGTAATGGGATTTCGGCGTTTGGACCGGTTATTGGTGGGGCGTTGGCGATGAAGTCGACGGGGCATATGGGCGTCTTCATGGCGCTGTTGGGGATTGCGGTTTTGTGTCTTCTTCTCGTGGGGTTTGTGCTGCCGGAGACGTCGAGGGGGATTGTGGGGAATGGAGGGAGGCCTGCGACGGGGGTTTGGCGGACTTGGATATCGCTTCTCGGACGGAAGGGTAGCCATGAGGCGGCGTCCACTGTTGCGGAGCGACCTCCTATGCCCAAGCCTTCCCAGACGCTCTCGAGGATCTTTGATTCCATACGCATGATCCGGCATCCGGACGCTGCTGTGATTCTCTGGATGGTCGCTTCCTCCTACGGAATCTACTATACCTTCCAAGTAGCCCACTCGGTCATCTTCAAAGAACTATACAAGTACAACGAGCTTCAAATTGGACTAAGTTTCCTACCTGCGCTGGCAGGCATGACGATCGGCGGCACGATAGCCGGCAAACTCATGGACATCAACTGCGCGTTTCATGCGCGTCAAGCCGAGATAGTCGACCCAGCAAACATCTTGGATTTTCCAATCGAACGCGCTCGGTTCAGGAACATGATTCCGCTGATTCTAATCGAGACGGCACTGGTAACAGGCTATGGATGGACGGTGCAACAACACACTCACCCCGCTGTTCCCCTTGTACTGGAATTCTTCGTTTCCGCACTGGCTACTCTGCTAAGTCATACTGCGAATGCGCTGCTCGTGGATGTGTTTCCTGAAGTACCGAGCACGGCGTACGCGTCGGGTCAGCTTGCGCGTGGCGCGTTTAGTGCTGCGTCTGCTGCCATCATTGATCCTCTGGTGCGCGCTGTAGGTCGCGGGTGGTATTTCACCATTTTTGCGGCGTTTACCGGGACGGGATGTTTGACGTGTGTGACTTTGAGTCGGTGGGCTGGTATGAGGTGGCGGCGGAAGAGGTATTTGAACGCGAGTAGTAGATCCGGAGAGAGAACGGGTGGCCAGGGGGTCTGAGGCTAGTTTCCGTGTGCCGGCAACTATGATCATCAGGATCATCACCCCGGGTTAGAATCGGGCTCTGGAGTCAGAGAACTTGTTGTGTTACTTTTTCGACGCGCCTTTGAAACCCGGGTGGTTGGCGTCGCGTCTGGGGTTGGCGTTCAGGCTTCACGCTAGCCGCTTGCAGCTGACTTCGAGCGCGCCTACGGTAAGAGATGAGTACGCGCATCATCCCGAGATCACTCCAGAACAAAGCATCTATTCATTAACTAGCCATTATTTCGTTGGGGGCGTCATGGTTATTTGGCCATGCTCTGGAAAATCGGTCCCATATTCTCCTGCCAAGTGTCTACAATCTTGTTCGCAGGACCCGCAGCGATCATCTCATCTCCTTTCTTCCACTTCCCTATCGTCTCCTCCGTAAACTCCTCGACACTCAACGCAGCTTGATTCTTCTCCTTCTTGTTGTCATCCGGATCCTTCCTTTCACGATGCAAATCCGTCGCTACGGTTGGCGGCGCGATTTCGATGACCTTGACCTTGGTATCTTTTAACTGAGCGCGTAAATTCATCGACCAGAAGTGCAGCCATGCTTTGGTACCGCAGTATACGGGATTGACGAGGGAGAACGGAACGAAGCCGAGGACGGAAGACACGTTGACGACGAGTGCCATTGGTTTGGATTTGAAGTGTGAGAGCAGGTGCAATGTAAGGTGCATGGGCCCACGTTGGTTGATGTCGATCTCTTGATCGGCCTTGCTTCCGAATTCTTCTGGATCCATTTCGTTGACATCAAGCGGACGCTGCACACCGGCATTGTTGACGAGACAGTCCAGATCCGGATGTTCGGAAATCAGCTTCTTGACGAAGGCCGGGATAGACTTGACGTCTCCGGTATCGAGCACGTAGTAAGCTGCTGCTCCGATTTCTTTTGCGGCTTCTTGGAGTTTCGACTCTGTGCGGCCGGCAATGATGACTTTCTTCCCGTCTTTTGTAAACTGTTGCGCGAGGGCCTTCCCGATGCCGCCGCCTCCGCCGGTCACGAGGGCGGTTTTGAAGTCGTAGTTTGTGGACATGTTGGTGGCCTCTCGAAGATTGATGGGAAGTGTGAATTCAGAGAAGCGACACTTTCCTACTTGACTAGCTAAAGCTATAGGGTCGGTGACGTGCACCTAAGTCGCCGTCGCTGATGATGTATGTACGTCATGACCCCGTCCTAATAGCAGAATTTGCTCCTACGTAGCTGGCCAGCAACTACACCTGTGCAACACAATCTTTCTTAACGTAGAAGTTTGATCAAAGCAAGCTCGACCGTGCCACCTGGCTGCATAATCCGACCGCTGCCAGAGCCTCTCGTTTACCAAGCATGACCAAGGACCCACAGTCCTTGCGCCTTGGACGCACGATGGAAGGAGCGCAGCCGCACCCGGGACGGCTGCATCCACATCCACATCTTCATCTCCTCTTCAACCTCATCCACCTGACAAACGTCTGACAAACCCCAAAACGTTTTTGCGCTTACCTTCAGGCCCACACCGAGATGCGCGAATCACGAACTCAGGACGCCGTTCCATGCGTCATACGGTCCAA